CTGGCAGCCGCAAGACTGGCCTAGTCACCCAGAGAGGTGTAATGGGCACTTCCAATTAACCTTCTACCATTTATAACGGCCGGGTGGCTCCTAGAGGTCACGGGTTCAAGAGCTACGAACGCTGCTGGTATATTTACGAAGCGTGCGCGCGGGTGGGCCCGGGTATAGAACGAGCCGAAAGTACACCCCGCATGAGTATGGAACCCAAACTGAAGGTGGCGCGCGACGCTCGCGCGGCCGGCTTATGCGTTACCGGGGATAGACGCTGCCTGCGAAGTCTCTCGCCGGAGTTTCTCACCTCACTCTGCCTGGAGCACTGCTAGTCAGCATTTGTCACTCTGTGACGCACCACAGATGCAAGCCGAGAAAATATGCACGTGCGCGGAAGCGGGAGCGGCAGTGTTGTGGCGAAAGGAGCTCTGCGGGTATTCCCACTTACGATAAGAACAGTATAGAGCCACTCTATACGTTGCTTTGGAAGCGTATAGGACGCGACGCGGTGTCTTTTCAAGGGCATGCGTAGTACCCCGACAAGAACTAAATTAGTTGCGCTTAGTTTGATACACATAGCGCCACTGCTGACGAAAACAATGAGGAAGCGAAAGCGACAGGCCATCAAGGCTTCGCCCAACAAATGACTATATCCACTTGCGGTAACTAAGCTCCGCATAACTTTTCAGCACCAGAAGGCTGCGAGCAGCTATATATATATATATATATATATATATATATATATATATATATATATATATATATATATATATATATATATAATGATTGATATTCGGAGTTTTAACGTCCCAAAACCACTATATGATTATGAGAGACGCCGTAGTGGAGGACTCCGGAAATTTAGACCACCTGGGGTTCTTTAACGTGCACCCAAATCTGAGCACACGGGCCTACGACATTTCCGCCTCCATCGGAAATGCAGCCGCCGCAGCCGGGATTCGAACCCGCGCCCTGCGGGTCAGCAGTCGAGTACCTTAGCCACTAGACCACCGCGGCGGGGCATATATATATAATGCACGTGTAAGTGTGGGACTCCCATTGCTACAAATGGTGAAGCTGCAGTTGACAGATTATAAAATCAGTATGACCTATGTTTCGCGTCGCTACACAAGCTATACATTTATGAGTCATGGCCAATGAACGCACAAATGATCTACCCTTACTGTCCTGTTTCATTGCTTCTTCAAGATGAACTGCACTAAGTATAGAATCACCTGTGCTCGAAAGGATGCGGCTGTGATAGTCGTGAGTGGAAGCTGGTTAACACTTTCATTGCTACAAGTTTAAAGTACGTATAACGACACAAGTACGCAAGTGTACGAGGAGCAACTGTCGCATTAGTTAAATGGGTGGAGTGCCTCAAGCGCATCACGCGCAGCTCGGGATTATTGTTTTATGTATTGCTTCTTTTTTATGACAGGACCCAGACTTTACTGAAGTTATGAACAAGCGTATATATTGTTTCCAATTTATTCGACAGCGCTTGTTTCCCCAAAACATTAAACTATCACAGGCTACTTTTGGAGATATCGATCGTTCGACACCGAAACACAGATAAGTGTATTCTGTAATGTGACTTGCTATATATGCTGCACTCGCGATGATTAAGCACGTCGAGCATATCACTGGCATGGCGCTCCCGTATAAGTTCTGGGTCACACCTCGTAGAAGTACGTGATGTTTTCGAGAATGCGCATCCGCGAATACGACCGCCTTCGGATATCTTAAGCGAGATAGATGACCAGTTAAAAACGCGGCCGTGAAAAGTAACTCGCTGCAGGTACGGGGGACGGTGGAGCAGTTAAACGGCACTATTTTTCGCTCCGCGAGAAGACAGCAACACCCCGCTGTGAGCGAGAGTGCATCTGGGCCACATCTTGCTGGCGCGGCTGTTGGCGTCGCTGTGGTGACCGCGACGGTCCTAAATACGCGCCTGGACAAGCAACCGCCGCGCCTCTGCAATAGACCGCCTCGTAAGTGTGCCGCGCGACCGCGTTACCAAGCTTCCGCGACGACGGTGTTTGGAGCGAAGCACCACCCATTGTCACGTGTATACACAGAGCACAATTAATAGCGTGAAAGAAGCGAGGCTTCGGAGCTTGTTACAAGTATACCCGCACTTCGAAAACAAGGCAGAAATTGCGGGTCATGCTGCTTGTTCACGCCAAACAAGCAACACACACACACTGCGGAATTTCACACTCAGCGCAGCTTCTCTCGTACGCTCGAAGAGGCATTGTTATCGGCTTTGAGCACAGCAAACATTCTTGGGAACAACGAATTAGTCAACGCTTCGCAGTCCCCGCAAGTGTTGTACGCTGCTGACGCTTGCCTTTCACATCAGCATCCATTCACGGCCCGCACACGAAAGCAGCTTGTCCCGGCTGTGCGCTCTCATCGTCAAGTGAGTTGGACCCACCCCGGCACACCGCGAACGTACACACGCGCGGTTCGCGTTCAACGAACCGTGCCGCGCGTCTTTTCCAGCGGAGCACGGACCACTGTACCACGAGTGCGCCGCGAGCGGGACGTTTCTGGTGGAGGGCGTTCTTTTCTTTCGTTCCCACCGAAGGGTTTTCGATTACCGGAACAATCTGGAATTCTCATTCTTCTATACATTGTATACTCTATGGGGCTGACTGTACGATTACGGATAGCACGGTAAAGACGGAAGTATAGCCGATCGACTCTCCGCACAGTGTTTGTTCCCAGTTGTGTGAAACCCGAACTTAAGACGCAGTTTGGACTCTGCGTTATAGGGCTGCACAGTTGGTGCATGTGTTTGGAGGGAACGGGGTGATATCGGAAACGTACGTCTAGTCTGCGGAACGATTTAACTGCAAGCACAATTTTTCGTGCTCAGTCTTTACATTGCGGCCGGAAAGAGGCCGTTGCAATCCTTCCACAGCTCCCCTCTTTTAAGGAGCGTCTAACGTTCACGTGTTGCGAGCAGCAATACATAAAGGTAAAGAATGAAAATAAGGCCCACGTACAAAATCAGCGCCTTATGCTCGGACACATAGCCCTAACGCAGGGAAAGGACTACGATAATAACGCAAAGCCAGGCTGTATACATTATGGCGACACGGCTCCCGCTGAATCTCGCTGACGGTGTATAGCTCACTTTACCACCTGGTGAGTGTATGGTTTTAGGTACAGAGGGGACATGTGAAATGAAAGAAAAAAAATTATTGCACTGATATTTCAAACAGTCTTGGGGCTAGCCTGGGATTTTATTTCGCTGTGTTCCCCCACAAGACGCTCAACCGAAAGATAATAAATACGTGTACAAAGACTGAACTGCACAAGCAATGGTGAACATTGGTCTATGTGAGCCACAATACTGTACTGAAGGCATTGTCGTCGAAAGTTTGTCTCGGGCGTTCATACCATCTAGCATATATGGTATATAACCACATCCCTTTCATCAGTCTGAAGTAGCATGTCATCCTCTCCGCGATGCAACGACCAACAGTGTTCACGGCGACATTGTCATTGCAGCTGCATGACTCATCACAAGCCCCCTATGACGAACAACAAACCTGTCACATTCTTCTGCAAGCTCACACACGTTAGCTCACGGCCTGACAGGTGCACACACGCCTGAATTAACCGAAAAAGAGCGTATAATACGGCTATTCGGCCGTTTCCAGCACGCGGTAATGACATAGTGTATTCGTCGCACTCCGCGCATTTGACCTCGCGGGGTGCAGATAAAAGCCAGTTCTTCAAAGTGCGCTTCTACACACTTCCTTCCGCGGCACACTGGAGCAAAGAATGAAAACAGGTACTCGCAAATCACCGCGTACATGCACGTTCGACATCTGCGTGCTCCTGAGCCGAGCGCGTAGGCGAAGTTGACATGCAAGCCGTTCAGTAAGGTCTCTTCGTCTGGTCTAGATGTGCGATATAGAACTAAATCTATGCTTTGTTAGCCGCATATATTCAAAAAAGGCGAAGTTGACACGAAAAAGCATATAGCGATACGGTAGACAAGGTTTTTTTTTTTTTTTTTGCAGGTCTTGTTCTGTAAACCTTGCAGCAGGTCTTAAGGCGAACCCTGTATCACAGAATACCTTTTCTGGGCGTAGTCCACAAATGTGCCCTAGATCAAGCTTCTTTAAGGAGGCGTCCGTGTGAAGCCAAGTTAAAGTGTTCCCTTTGCAAAGACGAAGATCTCTCTAATCGGTTTCATTACTGCTTCAATTATTGTGCCTAAAGCGAGACTTTACTAGAAAAGACGATTGCGAACGGAGTGAACTGAATTTTGGGTGGGCATCACTGCGCGGTTCAGTGCGGCGTCGTTCGACGCGTGATGCCAAATAACTCACTCAAAAGCCTAAAGTAGCATTGATAACTTCTATCCGTCGTCAACGTCCGCATCACCTCCACGACCAGTATTTTGTGATCATTTGATTTTGCTTGAACAGCAGCACCGCTACAGAGCTTGCGATCTCACTAAACTAAATAAAAAAGGAAACTGAGTGAAATACTTAAATATCAGCTGTTATAATCTAAAAAGCCCTTTAGAAATATTTCGATAAGTTAGAAAAGTGAACGTCATGCACGTAGACATGTGTTATATCAGTGGCTATCGCATCTCATAACTCATGCGGGCTCAACTCCCGCGATGTATGTGAGCGCTCACTATCTCTATATGTGATGGTGAAGAGACTAAATCTAAAACTACCGTCTTGTTTTCATTTGGTTCCGAATAACTAAGGTGATATGCGCAGAAGTGGCAGTGTTCAACCAGTACGTTACATGACAGAGCAAATACAAAGAATATGGATGCCAAAACTTCCACACGAGCTCAAAACTTCAAGTACGGCATGCACAGTACATCATGCATGCACGTCACTGAATGGCGGGCAAGACACACGCACGCTCGAGGCAGCTGTGTCAGAAAAAAAAAATCTTTGTCCCTGTGGCTGAGCATCTTGGAGACACGCATAACCGGTAAGTGTTGTGCAGCGACACACTAAAAACTACACAAGCAGAGAGCTTCGATAGCCGTTGGGGCCACACAGGTTGCAACGGCGATTGAGCCTCTCATGTCCAACACATTCTTTAAGATCGAAACAGCAGCAAAAGCAAAAAAACGACAAAAAGAAACGCCTACGCCAACTGGAGCTGCTGGCGACTCACCGAGTTTCTGTATCTCGTATCCGACCGGCGGACGCAGCACCCGGCGGGACCAGGCGGAGCGCACCACTTCGAGTGTGTACTCGTTGCCGGACACGAAGATGGTCGAAGGGATCAGGTAGCCGCGATATTCCAGGCAGGCGACGCTTTGCACCAGGCACTGGTTCCAGAAGCATTGCGCATTTTCGTGGACGAAACCGCGGAATAGGGACCAGCCGGGCGGGCCTGCCCTGTCCTGGGCCGACGCCTCATCCTGGTCGTCGTCGCTGCCCACCGGCGACACACCACCACCAGGCAGTTGCCCAGCAGCAGGCAGCGGCGCCTGTCCTCCAATCGCGGGGCCATTGCAGCACCGATCACATGGCACGTCAACACACCAACGAGCACCGCCGCTTGCTTCGCGCGCGCACCACCGCCCCAACAATATCTTCACGCAGCACGCTCTCGATACTCCCGCCGCTGCCACACGTCGACCGGCTCGACGCGCTTCTGCTGCTGCCTGATGCCTTGCACTCCGCTGGGGACAGGTTGGGCTAGCCCCGCTGGGAGAGGCAGACGACGCTCGGGTGAGGAGGGGAAGCCCTCGCGTCGTGGCCGCGACGGTGAGAGGAAGCTGGCGACGCGCCGCGGCCGCTGGGGGAAACGTGCAGTTCTTCGCCTTGAGTGAGCCGGCACATAACGTCGTCAAAGGTCAGCGTGCTGCCCATCTGCAGTCGCGTGCGGATACTAGGGCACTAGCCGGCTTACTTTCCTTCTACCGTCTGCCTCTGTGCAGAAAGCGAACGTGTGGACAATATTTGTCCACTTAAATGTTGTAGTGAAAATCAGTAGTGGATATCAAAGTTTTAGAGCCGCTGCGTACATTGCAACGACCGCTTTAGAATGACCCATTAAAAAAATACGTCTAGAATATTAGTCCTTTTTCATTTAAACTTTTCCCCCCCTTTTTTTGGAGGGGCGAAGACTGCGACAATGCTTTGTTCAGATTGACGTAGGGGTAGGGAGTCCTTTAGGAGTTATACGAAGCTACCCAAGTTTGTTTGTTTTTACTTTTTCGCCGATGTCATTATTATTAAGCGAATATACGCTCTTCTGACTAATGTTGAATCTTTGGATACATGGCCTTGGCTAGTTAGTTAGTCAGTTAGGTAGTTAGTTACTTAGATAGTTAGTGATGAAAATATTCCTAGCATGAGTGTCATGCAGAACTGAAGAGTTGGTGATACAGAACACTAAAAAATGAATGAATAACACGCGAAATAGCTCCAAAGCAACATCTATTGATGAAATAGATAGAAACCATAGCATCTGCGCAAATGAAGTGAAAAACAAATAACCATAACGACATCCAACAGCTTGCCAAACAGTACACATTTATTTATTTGTACATCTTTTACTAAAGCAGCATCAAGTACCCGTATTAACCTTCTGTAGCATGAATTGTGAAAAATTCACTGGAAAAATAATTTCCTCGACTTTTCTCATAAAATTGACGAACAAGAACGTATGCAAATGTTTTCATATTTGTGATGACTGTATACCTACGAAACAGGTTCGTGCCAAATATGGCGCTCCCCGCCGTGGTGGTATAGCGGCAATCCCACACCCCCGCAGGTCGCGGGGTTGAATCTCGACTGTGGCGTCTGCATTTTCGATGGAGGCGAAAATGCTGTAGGTCCGTGTGCTCAGATTTGGGGGCCCGTTATAGAACGCCCGATGGTCAAAATTTCTGGAGCCCTGCACTACGACGTCTCTCTATAATCATATGGTGGTTTTGGGACGTTCAACACCACGAATCAATCATCATCATCAAATATGGCGCGTCATGTTGGTGGGCGTTAGTCGCGTTTCTTAGGACTAAAAATAAAGCTCTTCCATCCATCGATGTAGGTAGGCGAGTTATATTGCTTTCATAGCTGAAAAACAAGATACCACTATGGTATTTTGGGCACGCTGCGTGGAGTAAAGGCATAACTGAACATTTTACTTTGTGTATCTGACCACCGATATTTATGTAGAAAATGGCCTCTAACAAGTTTGTCTTTTCGCAAGTTGCCGCCTTGCTATTTATTCTCTGTCCGAATTAACAACTGGCTTGTGATTGAGAGCATGAGTAACCCAGAAAACTAAAAAAAAAAATGTATATACAGGCTAATTATGGACTTGAGCTGGTCGGGCTTCATATTATTTTTTTTAACCTATGCCAATATTGTTACGAAAAATTGCCGAGTACCGTGTCTGACCCCACAGAATTTCGTGAGGGATCAAAAAACCTACCACGGCAATCTTAATCCTGCACAACAGAGCTGTGCAATATTACGGCACTGGCTGTGTTTTGTTTATATTTGTATTTTGCAGTACAACATGCAGAACAACACACTGTGCACTTCGTCACTGAAATGCGCAAAGTGCAAAATATGGTGATACCGATTGCTGCTGTATAACGTAGTCGAAAAAAAAAACTTGGAGAAAAGTAATAGCAAGCATGAATTCATTATTCTGATGAGCTGTTTTGCAGTGCATTGTCATGCCAGAACAAAACTTTCTCTGAGAACAAACCTCGGCGTTTGTGGCAAATTGAGAATTCTTGATCCTCCAAAACGCAGTTTTACGTGATCGTGCACTTCTCCCATATTTCGATGATACTATGCAATGAATGTCTGAACCTTTGACACCCTCCGACCTAGGGAAACGGATCACTGCTTGTTGTCCCTCTTTGGTAAAACTTCTAGTGGAGCAGCAAGCAAGTTGGCAGCAGAACAAAAAAAATACAGGCATTGAGGTCAAACTTTCACAGCATTACTAAAGCAGTATAACAATAAATTATGAAAGGACACAAGACAAACTGCGCAATATCAGAAAACTTATGACGAACGTACATAGATAATTTCTGACTTGCACTCTATTTCACGTCTGTTTTTTTATACTGATCCAGGGATGTCAGCTCTCTTTTTTTTTGTTATCTCTAAGTGCGCATGAGTCATTCAAGACAGAGTGTGAACACGAACCCAAAATGGAAGACAGGACACCACAGACGCCTACAAACAACTGAAGAAGCACACAACAGTGAAATAAAGGGGGGGGGCGAAAACTTTTTGGGGCGTTTCCAGGCAATATGCGAACCTAAAATACCCCTGTCACACGGCCACCACCAAACTCCGTTGAACACCGTCAACGTAAATCTCCCTTAGGGGGTTCGACGGAGAAGGAGTTGTGGCAGTGTCACACGGCAATCACAAGGTTGTAACAGTTGCCGCGAGGGGGCTCAGCTGGCGCTGTTTGATTTTCGGAAAAGTATTCTAATTTGATCCCTATTGATTTTTTTGTAAATCCTCGTTATGCGGTTTTTACAAAAAAGCACTATAAAGTAGGTATGCGACTAACAAACCATTAAAAATAATTTCAAATAAAAACGCATTTGCTAAATGTAGCAATGCTGCTAGTGACGCTGGCCACATTGTGCTTTTAGTTGTTTTGTTGCCTGTGTACGTGCCCGGTACGAAAGTTCTTATGCTTCCTTGCCTCGTGAGCGCACATTTTGTGTTCGTCAGCCATGAGTGACACAGCGGACGACGTGAGGAAGTGGTGCGATATTGCGCTAGTAATGACGTTGATCGGCTGGCGCCGGCCGGCCCGACTCGCGAGTCGCGAGGCACGGTGTGTAGGGCATCGGTGTTGAGAGTAAGTGAACTCTGGCGGGCGTAAATATTGTAAACAAACACGCGTTGTGGATGAGTACTACAACGAAAGAACGTATAATGATGCTAAAATGTATTATTCTTTCACTGCGGCCACTTAGAGCTCGAAATTTTTCTGTGATTTCTAGACTGCTGAGGACGAGAGTACCTCGTTTCGCTGCGAAGGGAGATCGTTGAACGTCCTTTGCGAAATACTCCGTTCACCTTCGTTTGCGTAAGGGTGGCCGTGTGACACCAACCGCATCTTCGTTGTCGTAAAGACGAGGGAGTTAAACGGTCTTCACGGGTGCCCGTGTGACAGGGGTATAACACTAGCGGGTCCATCTGACGTGAAGCGCTCTGGCCATGAGCCTCAGGTCGGGGACTCCGAGTCCTCTCCGATCTCTGGGCAGCTTCAGGACCAGGCGCCCCACATAAACACATGAATCACTCCATAGAAAATCGAATAGAGCCTTTTCCAAGCGATTCTTGGTTCGACTCGTGACCGGCATAACACTAGCGACGTACGTTAAAATCGAGAAGAGCAACGATCTTGCGATCGTTACTCTTGCAGTCAGCGGACAAGAGAGTTTGCCGAAATCCTGGATTCTGGCTTCAAGCTTGTCTTCCGCTATCCGCCAGTTTTCAGGAGTCAGGCCTCCCGGTTCGAAGTGGAAACCTATGATGCGCAGCCTCGCCTTCAAGGGTAAGCCGTGTACAGGCTGCGTGCTACTTGGAGCTGAGTTTAAGGACATTACTGCACTTTTCGACCGATTAACGCGTGCGCCGCTCCCCTCGCAGTACTCGTCTAAAACCTCCAAGACGGTGCAAAGGGTTGCCTCGTTTTGGACTATGATAGACAAGTCATCAGCGTAGGCAAACAGCGCGACGGGAGGGGCGCCCAGTGGAAGGGGGATCTGACAAAGTCGGCTGTCGCCAGTCAGTTTCTGCAGAAGCGGTTCGAACGCGAGAGCGTACAGGGCAGGCGAGAGAGCGTCGCCTTGCCTGACCCCCGTGCACACGTCGAACGACTCCGAATCGCGATCCTGTATGATGACAGCAGACGTCGGCCGAGAATACAGAGCTCTAATCATGCTAACGAACCTGTCACTAAATCCTGCCTCGTTTAAAATTGGAAGATAAAGTGATGGCTTATTCTGTCGAACGTCTTTTCCTGATCGAATGAGCACAGAATACCCGGGACGTCCCGTGCATTCGCCCATTCAATCAAGTCTCTAATCGCGAAGCCATGTAATTGGCAGGATCGTCCTTTAACGCAGCATACCTGGTATGGTCCCAACACAGTACTGAGTACTGGAGTGAGCCTAACAGACAGGCATTTGGCTATGACCTTGTAGTCGCAGTTGAGAAGTGCGATAGGGCGCCACGCCCGAATGTCAGTGCGTCTCGTCTCGTCCTTACAAAAGAGAGTGATCAGCCCCTTCCTCTGAGTCGTTGACTGCGTCCGTTCACGCAGCAGCCTATTCACCAGAGCGGTGAAAGGCTTCCCGAGCACTTCCCACAGTGTGACGTAAAATTCCACCGTCAAACCGTCGGTGGCGGGCTACGATTACCCTTCATAGTCACTAAGGCCGCGTGGAGCTCCTCCTCCACGATGGGGGAGTCGCAGAGCTCGAATACCTGATCGTTTTTTTACGAACGGAAAGTCGGCCGAGGGCGGAGTTGGCTCGGCGTAAAGGTTCTCGTAGAACCGCTTTGCCACCTCAAGTACCCCGTCCGGCGTTCCAGCTAGACTACCTATCTCTAAATCGATGAGGGACGTCAGAGGCATGTGCGTCCTAGCTAGGTGTCGCCGCAAAATTGTTCGACTACACCATGCCTCCATTTCCAATCTATCAGCGCGATCGACGGCCTTGAGGCCATCCCAGCGTCGCTGGAGCGCTACTCTTAGCTCTTTTCGAAGCGACGCGGACGCAATGCCGGGGCGTGAGTTTACAAAGGCGAGCGGATAAAGCCCCCCACAATGCACCGCGGCTCGGCGCTCTTGGAGGCTATGCATTTCCGCCGGCCTAACTGTGTCATCGCACTGTCGCTACCCGCACTTTCGCATAGTGTTGCCGGAGGCTGCTGCTGCAGCTAGCGGGGGGTCGCGCTCGCGGGAAGGAAGCCCTGCCAAGGCATATGGCCCTGCAATCGGATCCTCGCGAAGTAATAGCGTGCGGCTCGTCTGACCGAGTGCACTGCGCTGTGTTAGATACTCGCGAATAAAGCGTGGGCCCCCACCTCTCACTGCCGAAAAGCCGTGCCATTCAGGACGCAATGAAGCCGAGTCGCCAACTACGCCTGTTGCCAAGTGCTCGGAAGGAAGCCCTGCGCCGAGTAGGATACTCGCGAAAGAAGCGTGTGCGCCCACCTCCCACTGAACGAACGCCCTACGCCGAGTTGGATACTCATGAAGAAAGCGTGTGCCCCACCTTTCACTGCCGAGTCGCAAAGCCGCGCCGTTCAGGATGCATTGAAGCCGAGTCGACTGACTACGCCTGATGCACCTAGGCCTGCTGCGAAAAACGCCACACCGGAGATTTCTTCACTCCCCTTGGTGAGTTTTTGTTGATTCTCAGCATGCGGTTATTGAAAGCGCATTTCTGATACTGTCGTTTTAAATAAGGCTACGAACTGTGCTCGGGCAGCAAGGACAGAAATGTAGTGGTGATACATGCGTGCAATCGTAAAATCCTTGAAAGCCTGCGCGCAAACTTTGTCGTGCGTCACTACCACACTGTCAAAGCTGAAAGGAAAGCATGCAGCCTCAAGACATTGTCCTTAGTCGAACTAATTTAAGACAAGAGAAATAAACTTATTGAAAAGCTCTTCGCGGATGTTTTTTTTTTTCATGGCTTCACTGCAATACGGCCCCGTGTTCAGGTGAAGGCAAGTTAGACTCGCAGCTATCCTCGCCCGTTTGTGGTTGCCGCTTTCTTTTTTTTCGCCCCCTGTGTATTATGTGATCTGAAAATAATCTGCCACCCTTCTCTATGAAACTGTCCAGTGCACTCCATGCGGCTCTACTCTGCATGATGTCTCCTTTGAGAGGTTTCTTTATTAAAAGAATGTATTAGGGCGAAGCTTACTAAAATCACAGCTGCCAACTGTTGTAACCACTATACCCATGCAAAAATAAATATGCAATACATGAGATAACAATTTATTACCATGAAAACTGTCCCATGAGAGAACACTGAGGTATTTACAGGAGAATGGCACAACAAAGATAACACTTTATGCGTCAAGCATAGACGTACGTGAATGTATACATTAGTGAGTTCATGTATGAACGGACATGGTAATAACTTTGAAAAGCAAAATGAACTCTGCTTGCAGTGCAAGCTGAAGGAAAAATGAGAAGGGAGACAGGAAAGAGCGTACTCTTTCCTGTCCCCCTTCTCGTTTTTCCTTCAGCTTGCACTGCAAGCAGAGTTTTCAAGTATGAAAGGAACTAGTCTGCAAAGAAGTATTGATTCAAAAAGCACAAAGTCTTTGTTAGAATTTTAGTGGAAGCGGCATGGTAGGCACGTATATCAAAATGGACACTGTCGACACGATGCTGTCATGCCAATATGTGTAAAGTACACAGATGCAGCATGGTGCATCCACAGGCAATATCAATTTGACTTTCTGTTGACCAGAAAGCACTATACTGCATTTAGGCTCAGCCATCTTGAAACTAGAGTAGGGTGCTGTTGTTTTGAGCTAAAATTGAAAATTCAAGTGGCACATCGGTACTAAAAATGTGGGCTCGGTAGTTAGCCATCATATAATGGTGCACTGGATGATGTGGTGTTCACAGAAGGGCATACTATTGCTGACAGCACAGGTAGTTTGCCGGGTTAACGCATAAGTGTGCATTGCAGGGAACTTGGTGGTGACAAGTGGTGTTCTGGTGCGGTTTTATACATTGAGTGATGTGGGCCGAACACACTGAGGACCAACCAACCACATCTAGTGATGACCTGCAGGTTCCGTCATTGAAATCCCGGCCACGGTGGCAGTCTCGATGCAGCACATTGGAATGAAAGAAAAAGGATGAGTGCACTATACGATGGGATGGCGTGTCATAACACAAAATAGCTCAATCGGTCGCTATCAAGCAAGGTATCAAATAAGAATGAACAGCAAACAACAAAACGAAGAGGGTGAAATAAAAGAAACCATGCAAAGTTGTCAATACACGGTAATGTTGCTAATTAGACGAGTCGGAGCAAGAAAAGTACGGTTAAAGTCTAGAAACGCGCGTGACTACACTTTCTGGAACCTGATAGCAGTTTCTTGAGGTGCCTTCTGGGAGAACCTCATAAGGTACTTCAGTGATTCGCTGTAAAACCTTGTAAGGCCCGAAATAGAATCATAGCCCAAAAACCTTCTCCCAAAATATGTATGTGCCCCAACGGGTGTTTCATAAATGATATTATTTCTGGTACATGACAGAAAACAGGTATATTTACAATATTTACAGTCACAGTAATGCGGGTAAAAACAACTAAGATAGCGAGAGCAGGCACCACCTAGTCCTTCACTTTTTCGTCCTCTCTATGTGAGCGGCACATAACGCTACCCTCCGGCGGTGAAGGCACTGACTCGGTGCAGTCAGAGAAAGACGGTATAGTGGCGGTTATTATACATGTTCGTTGTGGCAGCCCGGTGTATAACATGGCTTCAGACGTACAACGTAAACGATGTTGGTACGGGGTTGAGTCGAGGAGGACAAAGACAATTCAATTTCTTATCTCACGTCGGTCACTTGGCGGTGCACAGGGTACGGTTCGGAGGGCGGGAACAGTAGCTTTGTAAAAAGCCCAATACAGCGTGCTGGAGACCACAGCACAGGAATCCTGGAGAAAAGCGGGTGTTTATATGACTGCTCTCGTAACGAAATTGTTGGCCCGTTTGCGAGTCGGTTAGACGAACGCACCCAAGTTGACGTGTATGGTCAGCATGGGCTTTAGCTTATTGAGCATATTCAGTGGGTGGGCATGTTGAAGGAGGCATCATTGGTGTCCATAGGGAACATTGGATTTCAGCCAAATAAAATAAAGGCGAACAGCCTCGTGTTACGACGTATATGTTGCATAAGACTAAGCCATCTTGTGTGTAAACCATGTGCGGCTCCGTTGAGGTTCGGGCACGGCACGAGAGTTCTTTATGTTGGCGTTCAACGGACTTTTTGAAAAGGTGTTTCATTTTTTTGTTTACATACGTCTTTTTGTTACGTACGTTTACATTCTCCTCGTGTGTGTCAAATCACCCACTGGCCCTACCCCTGACGTTTGCAAGCATCAAAGTCGAGTCCCAGCGATCGGTCTTGCTGCTGCACTTTTAGTTGGCCGGCCACTTCTCCACGTGACCGTTATCAGTCCCGCAGAAGTGTCCTGGGTCTCGGAGGTGGATCACAACGTGACTGGGTGCATTCGGCATGATGGACTGTCCAAGAATACGCCCGCTGGGAAGTTCCGTTGTGTGCTCCTGATGTGCCCAGCACCTCCACCAAAGATGTTACGGAGAGATGACAGAAAACGAGTGTATTTACAATATTCACAGTAACAGTACTGTGGGTAAAAACAACCACGATGGCCAAGACAGGCACCACCTAGTCTTCTCACTTCTTTGTTTTCTGGGGAAGTGCCACATAACAATACTGTCAGTGTCGTAGTTTTAAAACATTAACCCCCCCCCCCCCCGCCCCTAAAAAAACGCAATTGAAGACCTCATAACTTCTGACGGTAAGGCGAAACAAAAGTCACTCATGGTGGAATAGCACAATGTTACTGCACAACATTGATGAGTATCTGATTGTGACTTGTAAGGGCCACACCTGGTGGATCCAAGGCCAAGGAACTAGTGGGATAAGTGTGCACCATTCTTTAACATCAGCTTTGACAAGACTGTATGCATGATACTGAGGTAGTAGTGCAGAGCCAAATGCATATGCCTGTGGCTAAGGTGACCAATTGTAAGGTTATGAAATTACAGCTAATGCGAGGAGTCGTTGTCGCTTTGGTTCAATGAAAGATGAAGCATCAAATGCAGCGGTGGCGACGAGCTGCTCCTTCGCTTAGATTTAGGTGCACTTTAAAGAATCCCACATGGCCTAATTTTATGTGAAGTCACCCACTGTGGGCCCCGTCGCGGTGGTCTAGTGGCTAAAATACTTGGCTGCTGACCCGCAGGCCGTGGGATTGAATCCCAGCTGCGGTGACTACATTTCCGACGGAGGCGGAAATTGTGTAGGCCAGTGTGCCCAGATTTCGGAGCCCGTTAGAGAACCCCAGGTGGTCGAAACTTCCGGAGCCTTCCACTACGGCGTCTCTCATAATCATATGGTGGTTTTGGGACGTTAAACCCCACATATCATCAGTCGCCCACTGCAGTGTGCTTCACAATCATATCATCGTTTCGCGACATAAAAGCCTAGAAATTATGTTTGAAACTAAGTTCTGTGCCTAGAACTGTCGTGCACCCAATTGGTGGGAGGCAGCTGCCATTCAGTGCAGCCTTGCACCAGGCACATTTTTCTCTATGTTGTGGCTCAAAAAATGGGGCCTCTTCTTTGCTCTCTTGGCAGCTGGCTCAACTGCTGGGCGCCCTGTAGGGACCCTCTTGGACCCCCTTGTAAGCCCTGGCCTACGCCTAGCAGTGCTGGTCGGTTGCACCCTTATGTGACGGGCCCGGCGACGTCTTGGTGCAGCGATAGCCTTGAGTGCCAGCATCACTTCTGTCCCATCGCTGCTGTTCTGAACACGAGCAAGCTCCTCTCCAAGGCCCTTCACGATATCA